ATTAACCTAACCCCCCCCCCCCCCCCCCCCATAATGTGCTCCTAACTATTAATATATGCTCAGCCAGTCGATAATATTTAAGATACATTATTTGGCTCCAGAAGAATGCTACAAAAATGTTTCTTGATACCAATTCACGGCAAATACACCTTCTCTTCCAACACTATCATGGTCCTTTGCAAATATTCCACATTGAACCAACGCTAGTCATTAATAGAAGGTAATGACTTCTTTCACTAACAATCTACATGTAGGAGAACTTTATATAAGACCAAATAAATGCATAGATTGCTTTGCAAATTTTATTGGTTCTAAGTGTTCCTTCTCTGACAATTTAACTTTGTGATGCATTTATCATTTCTTTAACCAGTAAGTAGCAATACCTCACCACTGGATCAATGAGCAATCAAAAGGCTCTCAAGAAGTCCTTTTAGTGACCACCTCCTTGAAAGAGTCAAACTGCTCGGGTGCTCCATAAATTTCAACGTTTAACCAAAAAGGAGCATATCAGAGTAAACTCACACCGATTCCCTCTTTATTGGAGAACTTGACCTACTTGCCTTTTTGTCTGTCCCAAAATACTTGTCCTATTTCCTACAGGAAGCTTTTTCATTTTTATAAAATTCAAACTAATATAAAATGTACGATTTGTTTAACACACAATCTCATCAATGCATTCCACTTTAACATGTTTTATTTTATTGTTGTACACAATATTTTATCTAACTTCATTACAACATATACTCGAACTTCTCTTCATCTTCATAACAGTCAAAATAAGTCAAGTTTCCAGGATGGAAGGAGTGTGAGATAAGCAAAATGTGTATCGAAATTGAGTGCTAGTGTGCTACCAAATGTGTAGTTGAATATTCACATAGCCAACTTTTAAGCTGCGCTACAAATTGCAAGAAGCAGTCTCTACTCCAGTTTCACAGGTAATATTGCCAAACTGTACACAGTCAGGGTCAAGCCTTTCAATGGATTCAATAACTAGAATTTGGATTTTTAATAGCTACAAGTTTCCAGGTAGAGCTCGCTTAAGTATGAGCTGTAATATGTATCTTGTTTTCTTAGACATTAAACTAATTCTTTTAATAATTAAAACCACATGAGTGCCTAAAAAAGAAAGTAGGAACAAACTTCAATTTCTCAAATTAGGAATGAGAGCTATATTGTTCTTTCTTATCCTATACTTATGAGGAACCCACTTGTTGCCAATAATAGAAACAAGAATAATGAAGATCATCTTTCTTTTCGATTAAGTACATATGTATAGCTGTATTTGACACCCGAGTTAAAAGCTTGCTAATCTTTTTGCTTGTTCCTTACCAATAATATACTAAAAACCAATCATCAAAACTAGAACTCAATCTCAAACTAGTTGGCTCGACCATTTAAATCTTCTAAGTTTTCCGCGCAATGTAAGTCCCAGTAAGAGAGGTTCTCTAGTTCACAATTTTATCCTAATTATCAAGGAACGATCACCACTTATCTCTAACCAAACTAATGAAGTGTAACAACAATGACTAAGAATTCAGGAGAATTACAACAATAAAATCATTTCTAAAATGAAAATCAGAGAACTAATTTTGAAGATGCGAAATGAGATATGCCAAGCATTTCTAACAATTCATTCCTCATTTAGCACTGAAAACATACATATAAGAAAGAGAGATCACACCTGCAATTGATCATCAAATTTGACCTCTGAATCATTGCCATGTCTATAGAAAGTATTATAACTCAAGGAAGAGAAAAAAGGCACGAAAAACACATCAGCGGAATCCGGATCCAAAACCCTAACAGCCTCTCGGGTGGGCCCATTTCCATTTTCATCATCACCTGCATAGAGCAATGAAGCCAACATCCAATACTCCACACTATGCTGTTTCCTCAAACCCGTGGATTTGGGCCACTTAGGCAATGTCTCGATCGTCACAGGAGCCGCATTATAATGCGAGCCCTTCAACAAACCCACATTGTATTTCATCTCTAGATCGTACATGTATACCTTGAGAGGCTCCGATCCAGTGAAACAGGGCTTCGCTTTACCGGGTAAGGAATCGAATAGCGAAAAGCTTGATCTGTAATCGATTTTTCCAGTATAGAACAAAGAAGCAACGAGAAACAAAATGAACACTGCCAAAATGAGTAAGCTCTTACTCATTGTATCTTTCACTTTCATTTTTGTGTAATTTGAAGTTTACTGAAGAATTTGGAGCATGGAAATGCATGAAATATTCGAAGAGGAAAGGGGGAATAAGAGGTGGATTGGATCGTAAGGAATGAAATATTCACCTTCTGTACATTTTTTGGGTTTTAGATTCTCTGTGTTGGTCTTTTGGGATATGGGAAAGTATGAGCTGTGGTTTCTAATCTGTTGAGGGTATTATTATAGCACTGAAAACAAAATGGCAAATTGAGATGGAACTTGGCGAACCGACAAACCAAGTCAAACCGCAAAAACAAATGACTTGTGGTTAAGTTTGGTTTGGTTTTTGGATTAGCTCATTTATAATTATTAGGGGCTGAAAATCACTTTTTTAAGTGTTGAATCTAATTTATATTTATATTATTATAAAAGCACGAATAATTTATACTAAATGTTGATCGACAAAAATATTCCTAAAATATTGATTGACCTTTGTACCCTTATTTGTATCAATCTTTAATATAAATCATTAGGGTTTTTGGTAAAATAAAAAAGGACATACTAGAGGTAGAATTTTAGATCGATAATGACTCTCAGTTGGGTTCTCTCCTTGTTGGAACGAAATTCAATTAAGAAGTTAATTGTCACAAGATTTGATAATTTAAGAATTATTATATGCTTTTTTTTCTGGATACTGTCCAAGTAATATTAGAAGTCTTCCACTTGAAGATACCAAAAAACCTTTATATTGATCTTCTTTTTCGTTCCAAGCTGCAAGTCAATTAAAAGCACAAGATTGTACGGTAAGCAAACCCAGAGGCTCGTCATAATTGCAATTTGCTAAAATTTTGAAGGTCCGCGGCTTAAGTTATAGCTTTATTATTGTAAGCTTGATATGTATCATGTTCTATGCTTTTATTGAACTGAGAACTTTTGATTGACTTTTCTTTGCTCTATTTATAAGTTTGCTCCGTAGATCTTTTGGCTTGTTTTTGTGCCAAAAATGGAAGAATAATTTTTCTCCAAGAGGATCGCGGAAAGGTATTTTTGTCTTCTGTCATCATTTCCTTACAGTTTTATTTATCCCTCAGAGTCCAACTTTTCTTCTTTGTTTTTTTTTTTTTTTATAATGAAAAGTAGGACTCTAAAGTTTCAGTGAGTCATTAAGTTGATAATTAATCAGCTGCCTGGGAATATTGATTAAATCACGGGCGAATGACAAATCTACGTTACGAGTTACTTTTGTTTCGCCCTTTTCAATATTTGCTTGCATCCTTAACCTAATTTATTTATGGTAATTATGAGATCCTAATTAGATTTTAACGAATTTCCTGTTTCCATTTTTTTTGACCAACTAAAAACAAAGAGGCCAACTGTTCCGAAGCTCTTTTTCAAGAAGCACTTTTGCTGAGAGGTACTTCTTGACTTAAATTAATTTCCATAGCTTGGCCGTACAAAATAAATTTCTCTTCTTTCACAAAACACCTGTTTGTGATAGAAATACCAATTAATTACTACTTATTTTATATACTAAATAATATTTACAGTGTAATAAAAACTGATGGACGTAATAGCGGTGGAAAACATAATAAGAAGATCATGTCAGACTTTTTGAAGGAATCCTAACTATAATACATACTAATAGTATTGCAAAAATGGAATTATGAGTAAAATTATTTTTGAAGTTAAAAAAATATTCTTAGGGTACATAAAATTTATTCCATAAAAAAAGCATTAGAATAAAAAAAAAATAGAACACAAAGTCAAAAAGGTTAGTATAGTATTAAGAATCAAAATGTCATACAAATGTCTAAGGAAGCACAATAAAAGCTAAATCATGAACAAGAACAAGCTTTCAATACTATATTGTAAGAGTCAGATTCTGGTATAGCGGGACTATCGACAACAAGGGTTTTGGTTAAGGCAGAGCAACCAAAGCATTAGGAGGAAACATACACAAAAAAATATTATCTACAAAGAAGTGTTTGTTAAGATACAATCACATTAAATACTTTTAAACTATAATACATAATTATCTAACTAACATGACAAAATTGATCATTTGTGTAAGTTTGATGATGTTCTTTTATTTTAAATTCATGTATTATGCTAATGTATCATTTAGATAATTGTTGTATTATTATACATAAAATTTCTATCATTAATTAACTTTTGGTGTTCCTTCCTATAAATAAATATTTAAACCATCACGTGTCATTATTAACGTGCAACGCACGTTCATAGATACTAGTTATTATAAAAGTGGGAAGCCCTAAACTTAAAAGTTGAATTACTAAAATACCCCTATGAATTAATTAAGTATCTTATTTAAAAAAAAATTGTATCATGCTTTTTTGAAGGGTTGCAATCTTTCACATTAGTTACTAATAATCACAATAGTTTTAAATTAACATTCCTGTTTTGATTTTGTTTTCCAACCGTTGCTACTTTCATTTACAAGCCTCCGATTATTCCTTTCACAAATCACATAGATATAATTCAAACGAGAAGAAGAGTAGTTCTAATGTTCGAGTGGTTGAAATTTTATCAAAAAAACAGAGAAAATTAGTGAATGGAAATTTTCACGGAAAGTTGACGTCATAGTGATTTGTAGAATAAAGGTAACAACGGAAATCTAGGAATGTTTTTGCCTTCTCGAGATAGAAAGAATGATAAAATTTACCCGCACCACCAAGTTTAATTAAGTTAACCATGAGAGATAAACAAAAGTTTATTAAGAGTTCTAAGTCTATTAAATATTTTAATTTTAAAAGACAAAAAATTTAAATAGGTAGAGAATCGGAATAATCATTGTTATCATTTTCTCGTGCATCATGTCTCTTCGTACTTTTATTTCCTCATTAAAGATCAGAACACTAATTCTGAAAGTTAGTATTGGAAGAAAGGGAAGTAAGGGGTTACTTATATGGAGGAAGAGAGTCGAGAAACAACTGAAAACTGTGAAAAATTACTAAATTTTACAAGGCTTTGGAAAAATCAAAAAAGATTGTGATTATTATAATACATTCAAAAAATTATTTGATTAATGCAATAGCAATGCTCTCACCTCAATAAAACATGTTTTCTTTGATGTATGAAGAAAGAGGGATATTTGGGTGCCCCACTGTTTGATACTTCATTTGCTTTCTAACGGTAATGTTCATTCTTTTCGATTTATTTAATGTATCGTTAAGCTCTTAGTGGAAATAGCTAGAATATTAAGTAAGTAGTATTATTTTGATATTATTATTTAAGATTACGTGCAAAATAAATGGGAGTTAACTATGATTAAAGACCATTAATTATAGTTAAATTAGGTGACAAGTGCCATTCATTTATTGGCTTTGTGTAATACCCGATGCGGGTAAGTTTTTACCTATATGTGATACGTGCTGCAACTTTATCAAGGATGCTGCCATTTTCCCAAGGCGGCGATTTGGAACAATATCTAAAGTGAAAGAGGCATTTCTGTTCCATATTTTGTGTGCCATGTGCTTTGTTTTCCTTTAAACAACAAAAGCACAAATATGAAGACAAAATACTACAAATATGATACACCCAGAATACTTGAAACTCCTCCAAGATTATATGGAGGTTCCAGTAATGTTTCTAACATGTTTTTCTTTTATTCTTTTCGTTCTTTTTATCTTTTGATTTCTTCCTTTAGGACTATGAAAACTAGAAAGCAAATCAATGGAGGATAAAAAATTTGGGGACTAAAGCGACAACATCAAAGTGTTGAATCAAGAAAAATGCACAACGAATAAGAAAAAGAATAACTTTAATTTATATGGTTAGAATGGAAGAAACATAATAAATTAAAGGGAATGCTTGGAACGGTTCAGAATTGGGAAAATAATTTCAATGTTCTCTAACAAGTTTGACTTCATCGAGTGATCAGTGATACATCACTTCTCTACACATGCAGCCAGTATTGTTAGAGTCATAGAAAGATGGACTTTAAATTGAACAGTGAACTATTCTCAGGCATTTGATAAGACTAAAATTGATCTCTATATTAAGAAGCGGTAATGAAAAAAAATATATATTAAGAAGCGGTTGCAATAGTACACGGGCTCAGAAGAGTCGCAATATGTCTTTCTTTTCTTCCATTTTATTTGATACTATATGCTTTCTTTTCTCATGTGATAGTTCATGCATTTACAACTTCTTTTCTGACCACTATTTTTAAAATGTGTACGTTGAATTATACTAACATGTTTACTGTTGATGTTGTGTTTCGATAAGAATATGATGCGAGAACGAAGATGGCTTCGATGTACCGCGTGGGAAGAAAGAGACAAACATATCGGGTTCTACTTTTCTTAACTTCATTTATTAGTTATTTACTAATTTATTTTATCCTATGTAATTTTTCATGAAATTTAATTCTGTGAATGATAGGGTAGACATCTTATATGAAGTATTGAATCAAAATATATTTTGTGCATGGTGTTATGATTAGGAAAAGCATATCTTTTAAGGTTATAGTTATTATCTTTTTCTAAAATGCATATTAGTTGGTAATACATATGTTATATATGCACGCATATGTGAAATTTATGTTCATTAGTACTAAAATAATATAAAGTACTTATAAAATGTGAAAGAATCATAGTTATACTTGAATGTTTTGTCATTATGAGATCATAAAGTAACTTGATGTTTTATTTAGACATTTTTCTTGTAATATATTTTGTGGTAACAGATACCTTGAGTTGAAAGATCATGGGCAATATGATTCTTGTTTCAGCTGAGATGCGTGTGTTAGCCTTGGAGGTTCAATCGCTACCTAAATTGTGTGTCATAATAGATTTTTCAATAACAGCAAAAGTTTTTGCTTGTGTTTGTACAATCTTTATTCCTTGAGCAGATTAAAGCCTACTAATATGATGATCTACTTTTTCTTTTACTTGGGGAGAAGGTTCATAAGGGAGACTTCTATTGTAGTGATTGGTCAAGTAGATGCTTGTTGTATGTTGATTACAAGAGCCCTGGTCATGATAGAGAAATCAAAATGATCGAAAGAAATATATACCATAAATACCGTCTATAGAAAAGTATTAGATGAAATACACTTCATTACATGTGTGTACTTTATAAAAGCAAAATATATATAAAAGAAAGTCACATTTATCTAATTCTAAATCAAACATTGATTGTTCATCTTCATGTTCATCTAAAATCCAATCATCTTAACCTTAGCTTGACAAACAAGTTACCATATGCCGATCCATGTTTGACCATTTATAAAAATTGTACT